GAAACATTCTAAACAAACACCTAAGAAACTACCAGAATACTTTATTTTAGATGAAATAATATGGTTTTTGTCACTAAGAATTCATGTAAAGGGATACCTTAGCATTGTATAACACTTAAAAAATAATTTTAAACAGCTTGTAAAACAAGACATTTCGTATTTCTGTTTACATTGTAGAATTCTTGGTAGCTCTCATTTATTTCCCCACCACATCAGATTACATTTTTTTGTGGTCAGGAAAATCACACAGCTAACAGAATGCCAGTCATCACAGGCTTACCAGTTCTCCAGGAAAGTATCCTCTGAACCTCTAGCCTTCATATTTGTAGAACCATGTTCTAGAATAGCTGTAAACTTTAGATGGAGACTGCTGTTTCTGTTCTAATTAAATACAGTAAGGAACTGTCACTCTTGACTAAAACAAAATTTTCTAAAGAGTGAGCACAAGAACTGAGAAAATCTAGTAAAATTTAGTCTTTAAATTTTTTAACTTAGGTTTTTAAATTCTTTTTGGAGTTAATGGTTTTATGTCAAGTTTACACATTCTTACAAAATTCTTTCCTAGTTTCTAACACAATTGGTACATTTCCCCTAAAGGATCCTGAATATTCTGAGGAAAATGGAAAGAATATATAACTTAAACAGTGAAAATAACTAGTTTCAAAACTGCTGATTGTCGGCCATAAAACAGAACTTTGGTAAACATCATATGCTTTTTTAAGGTATCACTGATGGCCTGGCAGCCTTGTGGTTCCCTCTACCTTTAGGAAATGGTTGGCATGAACATTTTGTCCCCTAGAGAAGCCTCTTTCCCCAAATCTGAATTTCATGCCTACTTTTCTTAGAAACATCCATTTTCTCAGTCCTGACATCCACCCTGGACTGCCACTTAATACTCTGTCATCATCTACTGTTGGATGTTGTGTAAGAGTTAACTCAAATACTATACATACAGCAATATTTGTAAGTCTACCCAGTGCTATTTCACACTATGTGATAATTGCATACACATGTGAAAGCTAAAGTATTATGTTCACATAAGATTTTTCTCTTTCAATGTGATGAAATTTTATTGTTGAACAGTGTTAAATATACCAGTTTATGATACTAAGTGGCCAGGAAAATTTAGCCATTGTAATATAGTAATTGAATAATCCTTTCTACTACCTATTACTTTAGAAATGCTGTTTCAATTGAAAGTTTGTAATTTAATATTTTATGCGCAGTAAATGATCAGTGGTTCCATTTTGTCTAGCTTCTTACATATTTAAATACAGATTGTTTCATGTGTTGCATATAATTTATGCATATAGTAAAACTTAGAGTCAACTTCCTTATATGTCGGTAATTCTGATTTGTTTTTAAATGTTTAGCATGACATCTCAGAGGAAAGTTAACATTGTATGTGTCAAAACTTGTTTCTTTGGTTATTTACCAGAGAAATGATAGTGTTGTTCCTCTCATTAGAAAGCTGTTCTCCTTTTTATTAGTTATATATATTTTTTGAAATAAATAGGAATTTAAATGTAGGATAGTATATAAGATGAATGTTTTCAAAAAAATCACTTTGACAGTGTCCTTTTAAATTAGCATAGTTAATGTAGCATATAATGACAATTTTGCTAAAGCCAACTCAAAAAGAACTTTGTTACATTAATGTTTATATTTTGCTGTTAAAATGTATATAGCTACCTAGCTGTTTCCTATTATGATGTCTTACAATGTAACATTTTTAATAATATATGATTAATTTTTCAGAAACTACATTGACTGGTATTAAAGGTTGAGAAGTGTTGTAGTCTGTCTAATTCAGTAGCATGAGCCTGAACTTTTTTCTTTATAGAATTTTGAATTTTTCAAAACCAGTGTAATTTTGATTCCTATCTGTTACATACTTAACTTGGTTTACCCATCATGTCCCTTGCTTAATTGTTTCTTTAATCCATACTCTGTATGGCCTACTTGTGTATAACTTGTGATTAGAAAAGCAAGATTTAATAGAAACCTTACAATTCCTTGAAAAGAATTGCCATATTGGTCCGAATATAGAGCTTGTCCTTGAAAATTTTATTTGGCAGGTTGAGAAATTGTAATCCGAAATTCTCTTAAAGGAATTCATGAAAGAGGCTAGTACTTCGAAATGAAAAGAAAGTACATTGAAAAGTAATTGAGTCTTAATGAGACTTGAGAATTGGGAGTTTAACACATGGTAAAGAATTTGATTATCAAAATGGATGTTAGCATCCAGATCTTGGGATTTCTCTTGTAAACATGCAATACTCTCCAAAGCCTACATGGTGTTTTATGATTTACTACATACAAAAAGGAAAAAAGTATTAGAGGGTTAATAGACATAAGAGAATTTAGTAGGTGTGTAAAATGGGGTCTGAAATAAGATAAATAGTATGTTAAAGGGAAAATTTTATCTATTTGAGTAAGGAGTTCAGGAGGCATACTGGAATCTTATCAAGAGTCCTGGGTTAGGAAGTGAAAGCCTATCTTTGTTGTGCTGATAGTCTTTAAAAATAAATGTATTTTTTTAATATACATATTTTGAAATTTAATCATTGGGGAAAAGGGAGAATATAGTATAAAAACTATTTGAGTTAGCTCCCATCTGTATTTTACAACTGACTGATATTCGGGCCAATATGGATTTAAAGGGTTGTGTTCTGAACACAGCTAGCAGCCAAATTGTGAATGGTGAAGGAAATGTTTTAATATTCCATTTATAAGTCTATTCTTAGCACTGAGTCTAAGAACCAGGTTACAGGGATTAGGAAAATACCAATCTTACTGCAGTTGAATCTTTAGCATGTCTTAAAGTAGACAACTTACAATTCCAGGATTTACAAATCATACCAGGGTATTAAAGCACAGTAATCATATGTGTCAGTGATAAATATGAATGAAATAATGAAACATGACTTGTCTGTTAAGTATTTGGTTACCATATTGGGGTGCGTTTATACCCTTTTATGATTAATAAGTTAGTGTATATAGTTATCACAGTAATTATCCTCTCCATAATGTTTCTAAAAATAATTATTGTGATCACTTCTGTTATTGCCCAGCAAGAGTTGGGGGTAGGTTTTATTCAGTTAACACTGTATGTAATTAGGGTTTTTTTTATTTCTTCTTCAGTTGGCAGTTCTGCAAGTAGTAGTGCCACAAGGAGAGAGTCTCTATCTACTAGCTCTGACTTGTACAAAAGATCTAGTAGCAGCCTAGCACCCATAGGGCAACCATTTTACAATAGTCTGGGATTTTCCTCCTCTCCAAGTCCAATAGGCATGCCTCTGCCAAGCCAAACTCCAGGACATTCACTTACGCCACCGCCATCACTTTCATCACATGGATCCTCATCCAGTTTGCATTTAGGTAAAAAAAAAACCAAAACCCTTTTTATTTGTATATATACATGTATGTGTGTTTGTGTGTGTTTATAATATATGTAAAATATTCAGTGTTGGATAAAACATGCCAAATTGCTTTTCCTTTTGGATATTAGCTGTTTTTGAAAGCTCTATTTTCCTGAAAAATTCAAAGTGAGGGTCTAATGTACAGTAAGGTAAAGACCCCCTGTTGTATCTTATGTTCTTTTATGAAGTACAATGGTGTGTTTTTCTTGTCTGTGCTTTTGATTTGTGTGTTTTAGGCATCAGAAAAGTCAGCTATAAAAAAAAAAAAAAAAAGTCAGCTATCAAAAGTTTTTGCACACCATTAATTGCACAATAATCAAATAATTTAGTCTAGTACAATGACTTTTGGTTTGGCTTTTAAATGCTTGGCCATTTCATAAGAGTTGAATTAGGGTGTATGAACTTAGTACATTTGTGCAGTATAGAGAAGCTGATTGACTTGATCCATATACTTCTCTAACTTCTTAATATGTTGTTAAAGAAAAAAACGTTTTAGTCTTATTGTATCCCTCGGAGCATTTAAAATTAAATTGTCCTGCCCTCAGATTATTAGACATGTGGTTACCTTTTGTCCCTCTCTGGTAACAATATATTTTGAAAGGTTTTCAAACATTAGACTGTGTAAATCCTTGTCATTTCAAAGAAATTTTTTTTTTATTAAAAATCGGGTTTTGAATTTCTGCTACTCTAATTACCATAGCTGAAACTGATTCTTTTGCTGACTTCATATGCTTGGAAACATTTAAATTAGCTTGTGATTTAAAGCATAATGTTGCTATTACAATGGGAGACTATATAAAGTCTCGCTATTGTTTGATCTCAACTCCCAATCATGGAAATGTAACTGCTTTTACCTCAAGCTTTTTAATACAGCAATTGTCCATATAACAAAAGTATCTCTTGCAGTGATTCTCATTTAAATTTGTTATCATATGATGGGATAGGGTTTTTGTTTGTAAAGGCTCTGGTCTTTCTTATGGGCCTTTGTCCTTTTGGGAGCTTTGCTTTTTAAGGATTATATACAACCAGTTAATTTACTTGGATGGCATCCTAAAATCTGCTTTGCAGTGTTATTCATGTAGACTTTTCAAACATAGTTCTTAGCTTAATACCTTCCTTCAGTTACCATGTTATGAGCTGCTTGTTTTCTCCATTCTTTTACTACTCAGATATGCCCCTTCCTCATAATAGTATGTCTTTGAAGTACACAGAAATTTAGAACATAAGAAATCTAGTAATAAAATTATCATAAGTTTTGTGTTTTATTGTTAAGATTATATGTTATGTCCTGTCATCTTCTCATAGGTAAGTTTGGAGAGCAGATTACTGTTCAACTGTTACTGCTTGTGTTGTGCTTTTTAGCCTGTATTAATGGCATTATTGTGCAAAGCTTACACAGAAGCTGGCTTTAAGTGACCTTCAGGCTATCTCAATAATTAAGCTGCAATCTAGTTACATACTTCTCTACTTTTTATAGACTTCTGTTTAGTATCTAGCTGCTAAGAAAGAAACTAGCCAGTTATGGGAAATAATCACCACCTTGAGCTCGTAGATGTATGCTGCAGTCTAATACATTTCATTCCCATAGTTAAATCCTTAGTTTAGCTTCATCATGTAATTCTATATTTCGGTAACACTCTGCTTGGAATTAATCTATTATTTTCTTTGGTAATCGCCTAGTTTCTCTGAGCTTTAATTGTAATATGACTGGCAAATGTTGTTAACAACACAGACATAGCCAAGTTGAAAATAATACCAAATTCAGATTTCCATAAACTTGTGATATTTTCATTTAACATAGTATGGAATCAAATTATCTGTCTTGTACTTCCACATGATTAAACCACAATGCAAGGCCTATATGCACTCTGATCTAACAGGTTTTTAATTGTAAATCCTTGAAGTAAATTTCTTCTTAAATTAAGTGTTAAGACTGCTGGTACACAGTTTAAAAGCTTTCACTTCATTTGTATTTTTTAATTAAGGATTTAGGTGTTCCCCCAATTACAAATGGTAAATACTGGACATTAAAAAAAAAAAAAAAAGACTGCTGGTACATAAAATACCTATAAAAATAGAATTGATGTGTTCATTTTTATTAGTCATTTTAGCCCACATATTAATAATTTAGTCTTAAAGGTTCTGTCTCATTTGAAATGATTGGAATTCTGGGTATTGGTTTTAGAAGTTTTAAGATTTGTGCATTACAACCATTATAACTATGAATAGACCTTGAGTTCTACATTGTTAAACTAGTTGATGAAACTTACCAAGCTTTTTTTTTGTTATACGTAGTTCTTTCTTGTGTTGCTATTTGAAATTCAAAGAAAATGCCTAATAGCGACATTTTGTATGGGCTTTCCAAAAAAGATTCATTTAAAAAAAATACTTATTCAGCTAATATAAATATTAATAGGGTGGCCAATAGTCACTTTATGATTAAAGAGTAATTGTTTTTTTATTTTATTTTATTTTTTTTTTT